GACCGAGATCGGCACCGGGACACGGACCGGCATCGGCACCCGCATCCAGCCCTCACGGACCGCGGGGCCGCGGCCGCGCCTCGGAGGCTCCGGGCACGGAATCCCCCGGCCCCGCTGAGGAGAGTGCGGAGCCCCCCGACCCGCGTGAGGGCTCGGGGCACACGGAGCCCGCCGGCCCCGCTCGGGAGGGCCCCGGCACGGCGCCGCTCCACCCGCGGCGGGATGCGAGGGACGCGGAGCCCCCCGGCCCGCAGGAGGGCCCGGGGCACACGGAGCTCCCCGGCGCCGCTCGGGGCTCGGAGCCGCTCGACCCGCCGCGGGACGCGGAGGACTGGCCCCCGGCCGGCCGCGCGGAGCTGCCGCTGGTGCCCGCCGAGCTCCGTGCGCGGCTGCTGGACCGGCGGGACTACCGGCGGCGCGCCCAGGCGGTGGAGCAGCTGCGGCGGGCGCTGGAGGGCTGCAGCCCGGCCGCTCTGAGCGCCGCGCCCGCCGCCGCGCTGCGCGGGCTGATCGCGCTGCTGGACGCGCTGCTGCGCGACCCCAACTTCGCGGTGGCGCGGGGCGCGCTGGAGGCGGCGCGGCTGCTGGCGCTGCGGCTCGGGCCGAGGCTGCCCGCCGTGCTCGGGCCGCTGGTGGCCGCGGCGGCGCGGGCGCTGGGGGACACGCAGCCCGCGATGCGCAGGGACGGCGCCCGGCTGCTGCTGCGCCTCATGGGCGCCGCGGGGCCGCGGGCCGTGCTGCGCCTGCTGCTGCAGGAGCGGCTGCTGCGCCACCGCAGCGCCCGGCTCCGCGAGGAGCTGCTCAACACCTGCACGGCCGCGCTGCTCACCTACCCCGGCGAGCAGCTGGACCTGCCCCGGCTGGCGGCCGCGCTGGCGCCCGCGCTGCTGGACTCGAAGCGCCGTGTCCGGCACGCCGCGCTGGAGGCGCTGGCGGCGCTGGCCGCGGCCATGGGCTCCGGCCGCACGCAGGAGCTGCTCGGGGCCGTGGGCGCCGCGGAGATGCGGGCGGGCGGCGCGGGGGCCCTGCTCGCCCTGCAGGCGCGGCTGGCCAGGAAGGCGCTGCCCAGGCTGGGCGAGCAGGGCTGTGTGGAGTACGCGCTGCCCCTGCCCTCCGCCGGGCGCTGCCGCGGGCGCTGCCACCCCCCCGGCGCCGACACCGAGTGGCTGCTGATGGGCAGCGGGACGCAGAGCGCTCGCTGCGGGTGCCCCGCCGGGGAAGAGGCGCTGCACGGCCCCGGCTCCAGCTGTGCCGAGCAAGCGGTGAGCCCCAGGAGGGTCCTGAGCGCCGGCAGAGGGAAGAACAAGCTGCCGTGGGAAAGCGAGCTGGCTGGAGACGGGGAAGGTGGCTCGGCGGTCAGGATGCCGTTGCCGAAGGGTGTGGAGCAGGTATGGAACCCCCCGGCATCGCTCACCCTTTCCAAGGGGAGGTTGGAAAGTTGTCAGAGGCTTGTTAAGTGGCAGATATTTGGGAGGGATGGCTGATTTATGTGGAAGGATCTGTACCCTCACATCGGTCTGGGAGGGCAAGTTTGGCAGTTCCTTTTGTCAGATTTAACCAAACAATTTATCATTTATTAAAAAGAAATACACGTAATTGTTGAAGTTACTGGGCTCCCTGAGGCACTTCGTAGGCCTGACCACTGTGTCATAGCTCTGGCATGTCAGCAGTGACAGGTGAACTCCAGGGAATGAGCACAAGAGTGGGGAAAACACAGCCTTTGTTCGTATATTTGTGTTTGAGAGCACCTGCCTGACTGTTGTTTGGGGGAGAACTGGCCTGCTCCTTCAGCTCAGGCTCTGGATGGGGCTGAGCCAGGGCTCTTTGACTGCCCTGGGATAAACCTGGAGGATGCCAAGTGCCCGGGTGGCTCTTGCTTCTCAGGCTGATCCCACTAGGAAAATTGTAGGTCAGGCTGGAATAGCAATTCTGATGGAGTTTTGATTTGATCACTTAGCCAGTCAGCAGCTGGAAAGGGAAGGAGTCTCTGGAATATTGTCCAGGTGGCTTTGCCTTTGGCAGTGGTGCTGGGACACGTTTTGGATACAACCCCCACGTGAGGTTTCTGTGTGTGGTGTGGTTTCTGTGGTGGTTGGGGTTTTTATAAGTGGACACATTTGATTTGTCTCCTGAGACTGAACTGAAGCAAAGAGATCCCAGGAAATCAAAGGCTGTGCAGAGGAGATTCCTCCTGCCACGTTTACGTAGTGAGAATTTAATTCCCAGTTGCTTGGTAACTTGTTGCTGTGCTGGCTGATGTCACAGACAGTGAGTGCTCCTCTGCGACCAGGCTGTTGGGAAACTGTGAGCATAAATAAACGTGAGTTAATGTTTCTGTACTGTAGAACCTCAGCCTTCATGTCTAGACCTGAATGCAGACGTGCTCATCCCTTCCTTGGTGTTTGTTACCTTTAATTCAGGCCCCTAAAGAGATCTGTGTCTTTTTGGGTTGATGAATCAGGCAGCTGAGCTCCTTTGGAGTGTCTACAAACAGGGCCTGGACACCAAGATCCGTAGGAAACACCTCTGGAGCGAGAGGGCTTCTCTTTTTGAAGCAGTTCTGCAGTATTAATTAAGACAGCTTGCAGAAATATCAGCTGCCAGTGCTCTCCAGGCAGCCTGGGCTGAGCCCTGTGTGCTGCTCTCTGTGGTTTCTGAACACAAAGCAAGTTAACACAGGCACCAGAGCCTGGCTGGAACTCAGAATGGGGAAAGTGCTCTGGAGATGGTCCTTTTCTAACAGAAATTAACCTTTTGTACACGTGGTTGTGTTGTGGTTGTGTTTATCCTGCCAAGTGGGAGGAGTGCCCCAAGTTTCCAACCCTGGAGAGAGAGAGAGATCAGCAAGTCACTGATGGATTCTGTTTTGTTGATATGTAAAGTGCATTTAGAGCTGGTGTCAATCATAGAATCATGGAATATTTGGGTTGGAAGGGACCTTGAAGATCATATTTCAAACCCCTGCCATGGGCAGGGACACCTTCCACCTGCCCAGGGTGCTCCAGCCTGGCCTTGGACACTTCCAGGGATCCAGGGGCAGCCACAGCTTCTCTGGGCAACCTGTGCCAGGGCCTGCCCACCCTCCCAGCCAAGATTTCCTTCCCAAGAATTCCCTGTCCTTGGGACAGCCCTTCTGAGCTGAGATGGCCACGAGCTGTGTAAATAAAGCTCCTGTGCTGGGGGCAGCCAGGAATCAGTGTGTGTGGGAAGGCAGCCCTGGGTCTCCCCTTAACTCCCTTCAGTGAGGTAAATTCATTTATCATGCGTGGAATTCTGGTACTTGACTTGACATTTCAAATATTAATTATTAATTCAGACATTCCTTTGAAATGAATTTGCTTAAAAATTAACTTTTGGGCTCATTCTGTGGCTGAAGGGATGCATGGAAGGAGTTTAATGTTTAAAGCTGTTTTCCTGCCAGGGTTTTTAGGGTCATGTTACACAGTGGCTGTCCAAGGCCACGTCTAGACTTTCCTGATCAGATAAGATGTGAAGTAAAACATGTGTAAGTTAATGTGTACTAAAAATAAAGGGTAGATAAAGCACAGGGACTCCAAGGGCTTGGCAGCTTCTCCAGAGAGTTGTGGATTCTCCATCCCTGGAAGTGTCCAAGGCCAGGATGGACGGGGCTTGGATCAGCCTGGGATACTGGGAGATGTCCTTGCCCATTGGAGGGGGTAGAATGAGATCAACTTTAGGTCGTTCCAAGCCAAAGCATTCCATGATTCCATGATTCTGTCAGTGCTGTTAAACTGGATTCTTGATGAAACATCTCTCGTCCTGCTGTGACCAAACCTCCTGGTCCTCCAGTGGTTTCCCAGCCCTGCCATCCAGGAGGGGTCACAGCAGTGAGTCCAGGAATGCTGCAAGCAATCCCACATTCCCTTCAGAACTCTCATCTGCTCTAACTCTGTAACGTGATCCCAGGGGCAGGAATGCCGAGGCTCCATCTCTTCTATCCCGACTGGGATAACCGGGAACAAACCCCGTCCCCATTCCCCTGCTGTTCCGTGTCCCCTGTGTGGAGGGATCCTGGTGTCCCTCAGAGCCTGCTGTGCTTTAAGCACTCCTCCTAAAATACTGCAGTGAGAGTTAATCCCTGCAGGCTGGTTAAGCAGCTTTGGCTCTCAGGGAGGGGATTTAATGGGGCATTTTGGGGGGTTTGCTGAGGGTTCCTCGGGCTGGAGACTTGGACACCAATCCCATGGGAGCCTGGGAAGTGCTGGCAGTCAATCAGAGCATGGGTTTGGAAGGCAAGATAAAATTGTGGCCGTTTTTGTCAACCACAAACCCCCTCCCAGGCCAGGGAAGGGTTTCCCCCAAGAACCAGTGTCCACACAGCTGTGGACCTTGGAGCTCAGCTCCCTCTGGGAACTGCTTGGCTTCCAAAGCCCTGAGTGGAAAACCAGGCCAGTTCCTGCTTCACGTGTTTATTTACTGCCAGCAGGTACCTCATGTGAGTTCATTTTCCATTTTTAACGGGAACAGTCTCAGAGGGAGTAGAATGAGGAATATGTAATTAAAAAGTTTGAATTATGAGGTTTGTTTTTCTTCTTGTTGGCAGGATATGGGGGTGGAATTTCTCTTGGCTTGGGTGTGTATCTTGTGTCTCTTCTTTACCTAGAAAGGACGTAAAGATTTTGTTGAAACTTAATGATTTAACTAATTATTTAATATTGTCTGTATTCCATAACCAATCCTATTTTTCTGGGTGACAGAGTAAATGTTACAAGGACTTAAACACAATTAGTGTGTGCTTGTGGTTCTCCTCCCAGGTTTGAAGTTCTGTGCTTTATTTTGTGAAATTAATGAAACCCTTTAAAGGTGCTGGCCCTGAGCCTTTGGCTGCTGTTTGTCTGACCCACACATTGAACTTTGAGGACAATCTGTGAACTCCCCCTGAGGTTTCTCCTGGAGCAGGGAAGGTTTGGCAGAGCTGGGAGCTGTTCTGGGGGTCTCTCCCTGTCCAAAACAACTCGCACTGTGTGGGCCAGGCTATGGATTGGGGAGATCATGGAATTGGGGGCTCATGGAGAACTGCACTTTCGTATTCCAAGAGTTTCTGTGAAGTTCCCAGTCAGAGAATCCCATTTTTGTGGTGAACTGAAACGTTCAGTGAAATGAAAAATAACTATTTTAATAAATTCATGTGTTATGTAGGTGTTAGAGCACAAGTCCCCCATTCACAAAGCAGGATGTGAATAAAGGAGTTTTCAGGCTGAACATGGTGCTTTTTTTTCCAACACTGAATAAATATTTCCATTTCTGCTCAGAGTTCTCCTTGTGCAGCCTCCTCTGTGAAAGGGGAGAGCAGAGGAAATGCAGCCTGGAGATGATGGAAATCACTGATGTTACTAATTAAATCAGGAACCTTCATTTAAGGCATGATCTCTTCCTTGCTAAATACTGCTGCTACTGAGATTTTCCCCTTACCCTTGCCCAGTTCTCAGTGCAAGCTGCTGATATCCCCAGGCCCAGCTTTTAGGCTAAACCTGAGGTTTGCACAGCTCAAGTTCCACTCTGGGATTTTGTTTTCTGTTGAACCACTCCCACATGTAATGTACGTAATTCAAAATGTCAACATTTATGGTAAAAAAAAAAAAAAAAAAAAAAAGAAAACAAACAAACAAACCTCAAAATTTAATTTTTAAAATTTAATTCTTAACATAGTGCAGTTCTCTACCAGTTTATTTTACTTTTTTTTTTCCCCCTCAGTGTATGAATAATGCTAAGCTGTTTTATTTAAAGACCTGGAAAATGACTAAAATGCTTTCTGATGCTTCAAGTATTTGAATATCTGGGAGCAGAGAACCTTTACCAAGAAGTTTTGCATTTAGCAGTGCTGTTTGTGCCCTGCTGTTTGCCCAGGGCAGGGAAATGAGCTTTCCTTTCACACACAGCTTGTTCTCCTCTCCCCCCAGTTCTCTGCATCCAATGATTTCCTTCACTCCCCAAAGATCCAGCCCCCCCAAGGAGTCCCAGCCAGTGAGGAGTTATTTTTTAACAGAAAAAGAGCTTCCAGGACTTTATTGCAGAGCGGTGTGGAAGTGAACTCTGGGAATTCTTCCGTTTGTGCTGGTGAGTGTGAGCAGGGAGGGTTTGAGCTGCCCGTGCAGAACAGACCCAGCCATTCTGGTGTTTCAGTGGCCAAAAGGCTCCTGAAGAGCCTGGGCAAGACCAGACCTGATTTACCCTCTCCCCGTGGCCCTTTCTGAGCAGCCCTGAGGCCTTGCCAAGTTTGCTCCCTCGCTGTGTTCTGGGGTTTTTAGGTGTTTGCTTCCCTTTATTGTCACATACTCAAAGAGGGGATTGTTTGGGGGTTTCTTTTGCCCCCTTACAATTCCCAGTTGGAGCAGGGCCCTGGAGGAACAGCCAGTCCTTTCCCTTTTTCCCTCTGAGCTGTATTAGGGGGTTGCTTGGAGACTCTGGAATGAAGTACTCTCAGTGTATTTGGATTTTACACTCTGAGCTACAGAGTCCTAATTCACCAGGAAATGTTGTTGTGCATTCTTTGCTGAACTCCATGTGTTTCTGACCTCGTCGTCTGTGTTTGCTCCTGGAAGGTGCTATGGACTCTCAGCAGCCCCAGAATCCAGGGAAGCACGGAACACTTGGATACCCCCAGGCACGTGGGAAGGATGGCAGTGTGGACTCGGAGTTACAGTTGTGGGGACTCAACAACTGTCAGCAGGACAAAGGTTTGTGGGCTGTGACAGTGTCCTGAGTCAGGGCATGGCACTCTGCAATTGTCTCTTCATTTCTTTGCTGCCTTAAGAAATAAAAACTGTTACTGAAAGCTTTTCCAGGCCCTGTTCAGGCATATTTGTGCCTCCTCCTTTGTATTTTCATTAGTGGTTCATTTACAGCTCCCACCTTTGATGTTTGACTATCAGGGTGTTACAGGACCACCTTTTCTGTAAGGGAACCAGAACTGTGATCTACTTGTGTCATCCTTTTGTTTTAAATATAGTTCTCTAAAACAAGCCTGAGAAATAGTTTAAGGCTTAAACTCACATTTGGAGGGGCAGTGCAAAGTGCAAAGTGAAGGTACCTGATTTGCCTGCTTGGGTAAAACCTTCAGGCTTTGACAGTCTAGACGGTGTATCACTGCACTGCAAATTATTACTATGGTGTGTTATTTAATTTAAAGTTATTTTTATAGTGCATTCTTTCAGTATAACTTATTGTGGTGTATTATTTAATTGCAGATTTTTATGGTGTATTGTTTCCTTGTAAATTGTTATGGTGTGATATTTCACTGTGAATTATTTTTGTGGTGCACTATTTAATTGTAAATTATTATTATCATAAGAGCTGATTGTCACCAATATTGTTCTCTTTTCCTTTGCCCAGTTTCCTCCAGCCTGAATTTTTCCAGCAAGACGCAGAGAGGGTTTTGCACTCAGGCAGAGCCCACCATGTCCTTCCAAGGCCTCAGTGCCAGCCAGGGCACCTTCATCCTGCCCTCCTGCCCCCTGTCCTCCCCCAGGAACAGCCCCAAGCACCTCTCCTCTCCAGCTGCATCCCCAGGCAAGGCCCAGGACAGTCCCACGAGCCTCTCCAACTCCTGGCCTCGCAAAAGCTTCCAGGGGCTGCCCCAGCCTGGCTCCCAGAGACAGCTGCTCAGCCAAAAGCCAGGAGACAGCGCAGGTAGGAACGTTCTCAGTGGAATGAAAAGAAGCTTGGGGGATGGATTTTGAGGGATTTCAAGCAGTGGACAGAAAACCCCCAGTGACAGGTGAGAGGGAAGGAGGCAGTGCCAGGAATGGGGGGATTTACAGCTGCCCTGCTCACATCCCTGCAGGCTTCTCCTAAAAACGAGGCTTTTGCCACAGAGCACCCTGTGCTTCAGCTCTGCTTTTCTCAGCCCTGCTGTGCCAGGGGAAGGGCTGTCCTCGGAGGAAAATCAAACCAGCCCCCAAAATCGAGCACTTCTAGAGACAGCCAGGAAGAAACACCTGCTGCTGTTAACACCCTGATGAATACAGGGGCAAGGAAATTGTTACTCATGCTCTTTGTCTTGCACTTGAATCATGGAATCACAGATTGGTTTGGGTTGGAAGGGACCTCAGAGCTCAGCCATGGGCAGGGACACCTTCCTTGAGAAGGAATTGCATTTGGGATGGCCATACCAGACTGCCCCCACTCAGAACAGCTTGTTAAAACCTGGCTACAAACAGCTGCATCTCCCATGAGCAGAACTGGGGCTGGTTTCATCCCAGTTCACACTCACATGATGTTTGTGCTCTGATCCTGTCTGGAGTCCTCATCTACACATTGGTGAACCTTACCAATAAGCTTGAATAGTTGTAACATTATTTAATTACAGTTGCTTAAACAATTTAGCTGATTTTTTTCAAACTCTTACTAAAGGCAACCTTATTTTAGGTTAAAAATATCTCTACTCTTTGTTTAGTTTAAATTGACTCCTAATCACTCAGGAGGCTCCTGTAAACAAAGTAGCAGCTTCCACATCAAATGTTTGAAATGTCATCTTCTTTGAGACCCATATTGTGTGCATGTGTAGAAAATCCCTAACAATGCTTTGGGATTCACCTGTCCATGGAATGTGCCTTTATTTTGTAGATGTGGTTGTCCCTTGCTGATTTTCTCTATGTTTTCCATATGCATTTCAATTTTTTTTTTTTTTTTTTTTTTTTTTTTTTTTTTTTTTTTTTTTTTTTTTTTTTTTTTTTTTTTTTTTTTTTTTTTTTTTTTTTTTTTTTTTTTTTTTTTTTTTTTTTTTTTTTTTTTTTTTTTTTTTTTTTTTTTTTTTTTTTTTTTTTTTTTTTTTTTTTTTTTTTTTTGAGTGACTGTGTTGTTACAGAATTACAGGTGAGTTTCTTAGGGCGTGGGTCTTTTGTTGTTCATTAGGAAAGGTAATTACTTTTTAAAGGGACTAAAGGGCCAGGAGGTGGGCTTGGATGATCGCTCTGCCAGGGGAGGTTTAGGTTAGATGTTAGGAAGAAATTCTTTACAGAGAGGGTAATCAGGCATTGGAACGGCCTACCCAGAGAGGTGGTGGATTCACCATCCCTGGAGGTTTTTAAGCAGAGATTGGATGTGGCCCTTATTGCCATGATAAAGTAATTGGAGCTGGATCAGGGGTTGGACTTGATGATCTTGGAGGTCTTTTCCAACCCAATCTATTCTATGATTCTATGATTCTATGATTCTATGTGAGTCCCTTCCAGCTCAGGCTGTTCTGTGATTCTGTGGTTCTGTGTTGGTATGCACAGGCATGAAACATTAGTTTATACTTTCTTAAAGGAAGGAGACGGTGGAAGTGGAATAAATTGGTACCTGGGGCTGCCCAGCTGTGTTCTGAACGCTCATTTGGTGGCAGAAGCAGTTCTGGGGTGTGGCTGAGGTGGGAAGCGTGCCCCGGGGCTGTGGGTGCCCCCCTGACAGCTTCCCGTGTGTTCCCAGGGGAGAAGGTGCTGGACAAGCCCCCCCTGCAGCTGAAGGCCAGGGCAGTGAGAGCCCCCCCCGGCCGGCGGGGCCTGCCCGTGCCCCCCATCCCACACGCGGGCGGCACAGGGCACAGGGACAGCGAGGACAGCGAGGGCTCCTGCCTGGGCCAGCGGGGCAGGGAGCTGGCAGCGGGGCTGGCACGGCTGCACATGGATGCTGAGGAGGTGGACCAGCAAGAGGTGGGTGTAAATGTGGTAAAACACTCCTAACAGTGCTGCCCCATCCCTGGAAGGGGCCAAGGCCGGGTTGGACGGGGCTTGGAGCAACCTGGGCGAGTGGAGGTGTCCCTGTCCCTGGAACTGGAGGGGCTTTCAGGCCCTTCCAGCCCAAACCATTCCCTGGTTCTGTGACCCTGTGTTGTGCAGATTTGCTGGGTGTGCCACTGTGTGTGCTGTGAGCCCTCAAACCCTTCCTTGGGTCTGTGAGAACAGGTAGAGCAGGTGGTGTATTTTTGCAGGAATGTGTCCCGGTGCCTTGGGAAGTGCAGCTGGGATGCAGCATCCTTAGGAAGCTGCATTTGCTTGCAGGATAATTACTCTTGCAGAGTAAAATGCCTCCCAAGGGCTTGTTTATCGGGCATTACTCGTGCAAGTGGTGGTCACGCTGGCCAGCAGGGCCTCGAGGATTGGAGTGGGCACTCAGAAATGTGCTTTATTTAGCTCTTGGCTTCTCCCCGGGCAGTGCTCCCCCTGTCACCTCTCCCTGCCGTGCAGATGCAGAACTCTCTGCGCTCCCTGCGGAACAGCGCGGCCAAGAAGAGGGCCCAGCTGAGCAGCAGCTTTGCCGACCTGGAGAGCCCCGACCCTGCAGCCAAGCTGGACGTGTCTGGGGACTGCCCCTCGCAGGGCTCCTCCCCCAGCGAGAGCGGCATTTACAGCCAGGACTCCCTGCCCTCCCCCGTGCCCAGCCTGCCCCGGAGGAGAGTGATGTGAGTGCCACTCTGTTACCTCAGCTGTCAGCCCTCACACAGGCTCTGCTGCTCTTGGGGAAATAATAATAGTGAATTATATGGCTTTTATATAAAATTCCTTGGCTTAACAGCTTGATCTTTCTCGTTGTGAATGATTTTGTTATCTAAAACTGCAAGAGTTGCATAATTAGGTTATTCCATTTTTTTTCTGGCTTTCAAGGTGAAGGAGTTCCCATAGTAGCCCAGGGCAGGGAGGCACTGCCAGGGGAAGTAAATATTTGATGAAGACTTTGCAGATGGGACGTGACCCGTGGCTGAGCAGGGGAGGGAGGAGGAGAACGAGTTAAGAGCAAGGATAAGACTGGCCTGGAAATTGAAGAAGGAATGGGTTGGGTTCTGTGAGAAGAGCAAGACAATGTGGATGTTTCTTATTGTGAACAAGGACTGTTTCTCTTTTATTGCTGACAGATAATTGTTAATTTAAAATGCTTTCACAGAGCTCTTTTAAATAGAAGTTGCCTGATGACACATTGTAAAGGGCAGTAACCCAGTTGGTTATGAGCACTATAAACTATTTTTTAATGAAATAAAGAAGTTTCTCAGGAATTTGCCAGTCTCAGGGCCAGTGATAAAGCTGTTTGTAGGTTTGATCTGAAGATACCTTTTTTCTGTGTGTGTACTAAATATATCTTTATATAGAATCATAGAATCCTGGAATGGTTTGGGTTGGAAGGGACCTTAAAGATCACCCAGTTCCAACCCTCCCTTCCATATAACTGACACACCACTGTATTAATAGAGCAGAAAGAAGGAGAGGGAATAAAAAAGGAAAGGTTTTTGAGGCTGGAATGATTCACAAACAGAAGGTTTTCACAGTTGTGAGCTCAGAACCAGTTTATATTTACATCCCTTCCCTATATACATCACTGCTGAGTCACAGTTTTATAAATAGTGTTTAAAATACCACATTAAAGTGCTGGAGCACCTCAAAAGTCAGGGCTGTAAACTCCTGTGTGTCCTGCTGTGCCAGGCAAGGCCCTGCCCTGTCCAGCAGGCCGTGGCCACGAGGCTGAGGTTCATGTTTTACAGGATCCACACAGCCAGGAATGCTGGCCTAGCAGGGAGGAGAGGCAGTGAGACTGGCTTTGGAGAAGTGACAGGGTCCATTCCAGATGACACTGAAAGCTTTGGAATGTTCATAAAAATGCCAGAGAGTTTAGCTCAGATGGTGGTTTGTGAGCACTGGAATAAGTTGGCCTTGTCTGTTCACAAAATCTCTGTGTTTGGGCAGCAAGAATGTGGGGGTTTGGTGTGTTTGCTTTTGGAATGGTTTGGTTTATCTCCTGATAACTGCCATGGGAGCTGGATATGGTATTAGTGACGTTCCTGGAGCATGGACCCTCCTTTGGATCTTAAAATGGAGAACTTATTTGTGTATTTTAGCCCCAGTAGGACATGGAGCAGCTGCTGTTGCCCTGTGCCCTCACCCAGCTGGCCACAGAGCTCTGGGCTGAATCATCTTTAATATTCATAGAATCATTAAAAAAAAGGAAATGTTAGTTGTTCTTGTAGATAACAGCATTTTCCTGGTAAACAGGAACAGCTGGGAACAGCTCAAACCTGGGAGTGACAGATGGATTTGGTCACTCTCCTTTGCCAGGCTGGAATCAGCATCACCAATCCCCAGGCCAAACAATTCCTTACTTTTTGAATGTATCCCAAATTTATTCCTGGTGTAAGCTTTCCTCCTAAGGGTTGTCTTCATTATGTTCTTCATAATGGACCTGCTCATCAAATAATTCCTACTGGATTCATTTTTCTTTCCAACCAAGTGTGGACATTTGTAGAAATACTGGAAATGTTTGTCCAGGGAGAAACTGAAATCTATTGTTGTTGTTGCTATAAAGTGTTTTTAGCTGGGTTCTGCCTAGAATGGTACGTATAAACTGTGTTTATTTGAACAGGTCAGACACCTTTCCACTGCTTGGCAGCAAATCCCATCCTGCCAAAGCATCTCCAGCGAGGAGCAGAGCCCCAGCCGTGGCAGAGCATCGCTCCAGCACAGGTGTGTTCTTGGCAGAGGGGACACAGAGGCCACTTGATGTGGCTATTCTGGCTTGTTCCATGAGCTCATGCCCCTTCAGTGCTTGAGAAAAGGTCATTTCTGGGTGCTTTGGGGTCAGACTGGGGTTCTGGTGGTGCTCAGGTGCGAAGGAGCTCCAGGCTTGCAAGCAGTTCAGTTCCTGCTGGGAAGCTGAGGTTCAGTGGGGCTGTTGAGTTCTACCCTGACAGTGAATTGTGCAGATTCCTGCCGTGGGCACAAACTTGTGACTGTTTGTGTTCAATCAGTTTGGATTCAGCTGAGTGGGGGAAAGGAACTGGGGGAGCTGTGTGCACAGGATGCATTAGGACATGGGCTTCCCAAGGAATGGCATAGTCAGAGAGCAAATCCTGCCTGTCCATGGCAGTCCATGCTGTGGTAAATGGTTTTGCATTCCCTGGATGAAAAGACCTTTGTGAGGAGTTGACCTTCAGTGTAAAATAATGAGCAGCACATTTATTTTGCTTATTGAGCCAGTTAATCAGGCCCTGGCCCTGCTGGGAGGGAAGGGCTGACAGCCTGATAAGGTCACGGAATCCCAGGATGGTTTGGATTGGAGGGACCTTAAAACCTATCCAGTGCCACCCCTGGCATGGGCAGGGACACCTTCCACCAGCCCAGGGTGCTCCAACCTGGCCTTGGACACTTCCAGGGATCCAGGGGCAGCCACAGCTTCTCTAGGAATTCCATTCCAACTCCTCCTCACCCTCCCAGCCAGCAATTTCTTCCCAATATCCCATCTGTCCCTGCCCTCTGGCAGTGGGAAGCCATTCCCTGTGTCCTGTCCTTCCATCCCTTGTCCCCAGTCCCTCTCCAGCTCTCCTGGAGCCCCTTTAGGCCCTGCAAGGGGCTCTCAGGTCTCCCTGGATCCTTCTCTTCTCCAGGTGACCCCCCCAGCTCTCCCAGCCTGGCTCCAGAGGGCTCGTGTCAGTGTGATAGGAAGATCCTTCGCAGGAGTATTTAATAAATCCTGTTGGCTTCAGCAACTTGACAATATACTGGTTCAAGAAAGTGATCACTTAAGATATTTTATTCTTCTAAAAGGTCATGAACATGTCCCAAAGCACAGACATGATTTACAGGGTGTGATGTTTCTCCTTCCAGGCCTTGCAGATTCTGTGTCTGGTTTTGCACCGATGGACGATTTGGGTTTCTTGCCTGGAGAGACCGTGGTGGTTGTTGGTAAAGGTATGACAGAACCAAAACTACCTTCTGTGTCTCACTGAGTTCCTAAACTGAGGGAAAACGTGCCTTTAGAGAGTGGGAGAAAAATAAACTCCATCCAAGGTTTTAGATGGTGAACAATTCCCAGTTTAATGGGAATGTGAAGAACTGTTCTGGAAAGGGTTACAGTTCCTGGACAGACAATTCCATTCATGACAGAGGAATGGAACTGGATGAGCTTTAACGTCCCTTCCAAGCCAAACCATCTGTGATCCCCTGCTCTGCCTTCCAGGTGTTTTTGGGAGCCCCCCTGCCCGAGCTCACAGCCAGTCCATGCCGTGTGTGGCCAACGGAGATGACCAGGGTGTCAGAGAGGACACTGAGCCATCCCCAGGGACCCTGGGGAGAAGCCTCCAGCAGAACAGTGCTTCCCATTTCCATGCTGAGAATGACAGACAGGTGAGAACTGCAGGGCTGGGATGCCATCTCATCCTGCTTTTCGAGGTGTGAATGCAGCTGGACACAGCCACAGTCTCTGTGTCCTGGGAACAGGAGTTCCATTAAACAGCCACGGCCATCCAGCTGCTGCTCCCTCATTTTCCTCTTGGTTCCCCCTGGATATTTTACAATTGCCCTGTCAGAAGCTTCCCACTTAGCTCAGAAATCTCTGCAGAAGGGCAGCAGGAGGGAATGGAGCTGGAAAACATCCTCTGACTCCCACAGCACATGGAGATGTGGAAGGAGGGATGGGCTGGGTTGGATCAGGTCTTGTTTTCTCCAGTAGTGAAATTAAACTCCATTCATAGGGTATTTTACAAACTATCTGAATATCTGCCCATACTCTGCTGTTTGTTAAATACTGTTAATGTCTGTAAATGGAGCAAGGTTTATCTGAGTGAAGTGGGAAATGAAACTCACAAGTTGTTCTGCAGGCCTTTAAAATAACATTTTAAGATGACTAAAACTCAAAGTTATTGATAAAAAGTGTCTGAATTTTCTGATTTCCACTGAAGATGTGACTCCTCAAGGGGGGTCAAATTAGAAGGAGTTAAGGGAGGAATGTGTTGAAAGTTGCTGCGATTCCTGAGGAGCAAGAAGGGTCATAAACACGAGAGGGAGTAGGGTCAGCTCACACCGGTGGAAATGTTTTGCATGCTGACCTTACCAACATCAGGAACTGGGGGATGAGCTATTGGGTAACTTGTGCATGATTTTTTTGCAGATAAAAGTGACCATGTCAAAATCTGCCCAGGATAAGCTGAGGAGGAGGAGAAAAGAAGAAAAAAAAGAACTCAATCATAAAGAGCATCAGGAAGGCAAAGACCTGGAGGGGAAGGAAGAAATCCCTTGGGAAGGGCTTAGACTGAGTATGAGTGAACCAGAGAGACTGACAGCAGAAAGTGAGGATGAGGGTTTGTCCTAAATGAATACCCACTGTTAAAAGCTGCTGGAATGGGCATTAGGAGTGGAAATAGTGGTTTTTAACTTGTTCTGCTTTGTCGCTGTTGTAATTTGGACGTTTCTAGGGTTTAATCTCTATGGGGATATTTTAACATCACCAAGAAACGGATCTTTGTCCTTAGAAAATGTGGCCTTGAATCCTTCTCTCAGAAGAGCATCCAGTTTGAAGAGGTCAAAGTGTTCCCCCTTGCTGGATCCTGGTAAGCTGGGACAGTAAAATTTGGGTGTGTGGAGTGGGAGAGCTCCAAAATGCAGTTTATTTGTGCAGTGGACAGTCCTGAGGTGCTCTGGAGCATCAATACTGTGGTGGTGGAGGGGATTTAATTCATCACTGGGGATTCCACTCATCATATTTCCCCTCTAATCTGTTAGGAAGGTGTTTGAAACATCAGAGGGGTTTTATCTGTTCAGCAACTTGAGTAATGTAATGTATTAATGACAAGTGGAGTCCCTTCTGTCCCCAGAAAAATCATTTCTTGGTCTGTTTGGGCACTGAGTTGCCTTTAAGATGTGCAGTAGAAAGGCTCTGAGAGTAGAAGCTCCGAGGTGCTCCAGGGTCTCCAGAATTTCTCAGGAGGCTCTTAGAGGTTGTGTTTCAGCACACTGGGCATCATTTTTACACCAAACAATCCACTGCATATGTGTTTGTGACTGTGGTGGTGGCTGTGTGCAAAAAAATTAATTTATATGAATGAAACCAAATCCTTGGGGGGATATCCCATCCCTGGAAGTGTCCAAGGCCAGGTGGGAGCACCCTGGGCTGGTGGGAGGTGTCCCTGCCCATGGCAGGGGTGGCACTGGGTGGGCTTTGAGGTGCCTTCCCACCCAAGCCATTCCAGGATTGCGTGTCTCTCGGAAAGCCTGCTGCCTGCAGAGCCATCTGTACCTCAGGGTTCTCATTTCCTGCTCTTTGGGTGACTGGAGTCCTCGGGAGCTGTCACTGCCTGTGCGTGTTGTGCCCTGCAGATGAGCCGTGCCTGTGCCCGCGGGGCCGGCCCAAGGAGCAGGGCCCGGCGGTGACGCCCAGCCCCGAGGTGCTGGACCCCTCGGAGCTGCAGCCCTTCCCCAGGCCCGACACTGCCCTGGCAGAGGCCCTGGCACTGCTGGCTGACAATGACTGGTGGGTGCACAGCAACCTGGGGGGCTGTGGGAGCGGCTCAGGGGGGAACTGCTTTCCAATCTCAGCCAGAGGGGCTGAGTCACAGAGGGTGAGGGGGCTGGCAGTGACACAGCAGAGAAGGGGGGTTTGCAGCCCAGCTGCAGCTTACACTGAGCCTTCAGGGGCTTGTACAGGTGTCTGAGTTCAAGGACTCTTCTGGAGAGGCCCCACCAACACCTTCCCGGTGCCTTCTGTGGAACAGAAGCCCCTTCTTGGTGCTTTCTCCCTCTGGAATGTGGTTCCAGTGCTGCTTCTTTTGATTTGGGGGAGGGAAGAGATCCTTTAATTGCCACCAGTGCAAGCTGGGAACAGAACTGTGGGACACAGCTGAGACTGCTGGGCTGAAATAGTCTCTCTTGGAAAGGGTTTCCTACATTATTTCTTCCCTGGGAGGGTGGGCAGGCCCTGGCACAGGTTGCCCAGAGAAGCTGTGGCTGCCCCTGGATCCCTGGAAGTGTCCAAGGCCAGGCTGGAGCACCCTGGGCTGGTGGAAGGTGTCCCTGTCTAGGACAGGGGGGTGGAGAGATAGTCCCTTCCAACCCATTCCATAACTCCATGATTCCATAACTCATAGCTTTATTCTACAGTCCAATTTGTTTGCTGTTTGATTCCTTAGAATTTTAATATTGTCATGAAAATTTGCAAGTGGTTTGGACTTGAAATAGTATTTTTTGTGCACCCAGGGAGAAGAAAATTGAGGGTCTGAACTTTGTCAGGTGCTTGTCTGCCTACCATGCCCCTGTTCTGACTGCAAAGCTCCACGAAACAAGCTTGGCTGTGGCTCAAGAGGTTAAATTTTCCTATCAGAACATTCCACTGGCTATATGTGTGTGTATATGTGTATTTTATAGCTCTCTGAAGTGAACTGTTGTGTTCAGCTGTGGTGAGTTTTCCTCTGCTACACAGTCTCAGAAGAGACTGAAAGCATGTAGATTGTAACTTTATAACATTTTTATGGGTATCTATTTTAATTCTAACCCATTGTGAATCAAGTTAAACATTTATTTCTCCGTTGCTTTTAACATTTCTTAAAAATGACAAAGGGGAACACGGAGCTTTGTTTATGTTGAAGTCTATTTTATCACCATTATTCATTGTTTTTTTGGGTCTTTCCTGTGTGCAGGTCAAGAATTTACGCTCAGGTGTTTCTCGAGCTGCTGTGGTGTGTTTAGGGGATTTGTTCACCCACCTGAAAAAGAGCATGGACCAAGAACTAGATAATGCAGTCAAAGTCCTTTTGCACAAAGCTGGGGAATCCAACACTTTTATAAGGGAAGAGGTAGACAAGGCACTGAAGGCCATGGTTAATAATGTGACTCCAGCACGTGCACTTTGTTCTCTTATAAATGGAGGGCAAAGGTAATTCCTACGCAGATTTTATAAAGAAATTGCTTGTGAATAGAGTCAATTTATATGGGCTTTTTGAAAGAAAATCAAAAATAAAATGGACAGGAACTGGAAAAGCCAGCTCTGGTAAATCTCTACCCAGGGCAATATTTGTTGGGATAAAAGCCCCCCTGTTCCTTTCTGTGCTTTATGTGAGAGGTTGATTTTGGAGCTTGGTGTGTTTTCTGGCCATTTTGCACTACCTCAGTAACTTTATTTGCTGTTACTGCAGTATTTCTAGGAAGCTGCTGTTTTGCTTTGCTTAGTAAAGCTCACGTAACACTCTTATTTCGCATTTGCTCTGCAACCAAATGCTGGTTTGCCCAGATTTCAGCACCCCTCTTTATTCAGAAAGCTGATTTATAACTTACAGTTCTCTAGCTGCAAGTAGCTTGCTTGGTTTCCTGTTCCTCGCTACACTGAGCTGGTTCAAGCCTTTGTGTCTGCATTTTAACTTCCTTTCCAGTGGTGGTGGCTGTTCCTTTCTGGAGCCCCTCAGACACGAGCCTCCCTTTCTGCCTGCCTGCTTTGCTCCCGGCCTGAGCTCCCCTCAGGCTGTAGCAGGAGTTGATTCCCTTCTTCCCCTTGCCCTCTTCAGTCTGTTTTCCCTTTCTTTTCTCATTCACTGACCATCAATACTTCAATCAAGCTCTGGTGCTTAATCTGCTGTCTGTCACCACTTGGTGACATTTCACAGGCTGCATTTCTCCTCTTGCCATGATTCAGGTGCTCCATTCTAAATCAGTCCTTGGGCTTCCTGCACAGCTCCAAATCCTCACAGCTAGTCATGATTAAAATGTTTTAGTTCCTCCTTTATTTCCTGGGAAGGGGAAGCTGGTATTTGTGGAATGTGTGGATTCAGTCTCCTGACAGCCCCACTGCAGTTACCCGGGGCTTTAAACTGAAAGGCAAAAATCAGCCTTGGGATGGATGTCCCAGCCCTGGGAGTGTCCCAGGCCAGGCTGGAGCACCCTGTGCTAGTGGAAGGTGTCCCTGCCCATGGCAGGGGGTGGAATGAGATGGGCTTAAGGTCCCTCCCAACCTAAAGCAGTCTGGAATTCTGTAATTTTGATAATAATTTGTAACTATTCTATGAATAATTCAACCCAGTGTTGTTTGCTTTTGGGAGGGGCTGCTCTAAAGACACTGCACCACTGCTGGGAACTCACCTCTGAGCAGCTGCTTGATCAAGGAGCATGATTCCAGGGCTAGGGCTGAAAGGAGTTTCACTTCAGGAATTTACAAACCTATTTCTTATCTGTATGAACGTGTTTAGGTGTTTGTGCACACAAAAAGCTTTCCAGCTGGTTTCCATGGGCAGGGCCATCCCTGGGGAGCAGGGCCTTGTTTGCTGCGTGGAGTGAGGTCTCAGCCTCACAGCTCTTGTTGTCCCCTCAGAACGTGCAGCCGGAGTTAGAAACTGCCCTCAAAGGAGAATTTTCAATCCTAATATAAGATTGGAGAGGTTTGAGTTTTCAGACCTGTGTTCTTGAACACAAGTGGGATCAGCAGGGACAGCAGGATTTACATAAAAGGCTCATTAGCTGCATGAGTTTGAAAGCTGATTCTGGGTTTTTTTTCTGGTTTTCATCAGCACAGCTGTTTATTTTTGACAAAACAGGGGCCATTAGACTTGTGCAGGATCTTTAGAAGTCAGCAGAACTAGAATAGTCAATGCTTTATTCAGTTTTGGCTCCGAGGTGCCCCCCAGCCCCTCCACAGTGTGCCTGCCCTGGGAGTGCGGTGGGCAGGGAGCGCTGTGTGCAGCCCCTGCCCGAGCTGTCCCTGAGCGCTGCTGTCCCCTCAGCCACCTGCACTCTGCCGTGAGGAGATGCACAGCCCAGCACCTGTCGGACCTCGTGGAGCGCCTGGGCCCCGAGCGCATCCTGGCCGGCCCCAAACCCTGCGCCGAGCGGCTGCTCCCGGCCACGGCCAGGTTTGCCCAGGACAGCTCCCAGCAGACACGGTGAGTCACCCTCGGGGGGCTGCAAGCTGGGAATGGCTCCCTGGGTGTGCCCAGCAGACAGAGGGCAGTCACGGCATCCCTAAGGGTGGGAACGATCCTTAAGATCAGTGAGGGCGGGACAGGGCTTTGAGAAGCGTGGTCTAGAGGAAGGTGGCCCTTGGTGGAACTGGATGGGCTTTAAGGTCCCTTCCAGCACAAAGCTCTGAGTCCAGCCAGTTTATCCCAGACTGTTAGGGTAGTGTATGTGGCAGGAATTGCCTGGATAGCTGGTGCTGCTGGACACACCCTGGCTGCAGGAAGAAGAGGGGCTCACAGGACATGCTCTGCTGGGCACAGAGGGAGTCATGGCACTGAGATCCACACTTGGATCTGCTCCAGACTCTGATGGACAAGGCTGGGCCATCCCTCTTAAAGGCAGCTGCAGTGGAAGGCTCTTGTCATTGATTTGCTCAGTTGTTGGTTAAACAGTGGTCCTGGAGCACAGTGTCTTTGTGGGAGCATGAGAAGGGTCTGGTTACACATATCAGCAGCAATACTGGAATCATGGAATTGTGTGGGTTGGGAAAGCCCTCCCAGCCCATGGATCCCCCTGTGCCCCATCCCCACCCTGTCCCCAGCCCAGAGCACTGAGTGCCACTCCAGGCCTGCCTTGGACACCTCCAGGGCTGGGCACTCCAAACCTCCCTGGGCAGCCCCTGCCAGGGCCTGACCACCCTTTCCAGGCAGAAATTCCTGCTGCTGTCCCACCTGAGCCTCCCCTGGCCCAGCTGGAGGCCGTTCCCTCTCCTCCTGTCCCT